TGGCAGGAAGGAAATATCCGGTACGAGGCGGACTCCATCTGGCAAAAACGACAGGTAAGGCATATCGTGTCGGAAAGCCAATATTTCTCCCGCTCGCCTAGCCGAGGTGACAGCAATTAAAAAGGCTGTTTTCCATGCTAGAAGTTTGAGGTCACATGTTGCGAGCGGCTCAAAGGGCTTCCTCATGAGCTGGCGGAGCACCAGAGGAAGGTCCCAGGGAACGACAGGAGTTTTGACAGAAGGATAGAGATGCAATAAACCTTTTAAGAAACGTTTCGAAAGCGGATGTGAAAACAGTGTGCATCTGTCAACTTGAACATGGTAGGCCGAAAGTGCGGCCAAATAAACTCTCAACGCTGAATGGGAAAGTCCCGAGTCAGCTAGGGAGAGGAGGAATTGGAAAACTCTTTTGAGACCCACTGAGGTGGCTCGAGAGGGGTCATCTCCTAAGGAAGAACAGAACCTTCGCCATTTATAATTGTAGGACCTCCGCATAGTAGGTTTCCTGGAATTCAACAGAACATTTGCTACGCAGGTGGAGAAACCGATGACGTTATCCTCCATGCTGTCAATTTCAATTGTGGTATGTCGTGATGTAGGAGAGGGGAGTCGGACAGGAGGAGGAGGGGAGGGAATTGATGGTATATTCCATCTGATAGCTCGAGGACTGTTGAAAACCATGGTTGCCTTGGCCACCATGGGGTTATTAAGAAGCAGTCCGTGCCCTCTGTGAGTATATTGCAGACCACTCTCAGAAGCAGAGGTAAGGGAGGGAAAGGTAAAGAAGTCCCGTGGATCAAGGGTAAAGGAGACCGTCTCCCAGAGATTGAGAGTCCCTGCCTCCTCGACTGCAGAACAGAGGACACTGTTTGTTGGTTCTGGAGGCAAAAACATCGACTTGGGGAGCTCCCCACCTGTGGAAGAGTGGGAGGAGGTATGTTGGGTTCATCTCCCACTCGTGAAGGCTGAGTCCTGCTCGACTTAGATGGTCTGCCTGCACGTTCATGTATCCAGGGATGTGAGTGGCTACGAGGAAAATGTTGGTGACACAAAGGTCTCACAACCCGATGGCAAGCTTGCAGAGGCGTAGAGAAACAGTGCCTCCTTTTCTGTTGACATAGAGCGCCATGGTGTTGTCCATGAGGACCGTGACACATTTCCCCTTGATTAAAGGTAGGAAGCTGGTGACAGCATGTTGTATTGCCAGCAGTTCTAGGAAGCTTATGTGTCGCTTCCTCTTCTGCGCATCCCATTTGTCCCCAACGCACAGACCCATCATGTGTGCACCCCATCCCGACAGGGAAGCATCCATGGTGAGGGTGATTTGGGGTAACGGAGGGTGGAAGGGTGCTCCCTGGAAGATATTGGAAGGGACAGTCCACCAAAGTAACGAGTCTCGTATGTTGGGAGGGGGGAGAGGACGACAGTGTGAGGTTCACTGGGTTGTAATTCCGGATGAACCACAGTTGTAAACGACGCATTTTCAGTTTGGCAAAGACAAGAACCAACATAGTTGCAGCCATAAGGCCAAGTAGCCTTTGGATTTGGAAGGCAGTGACAGAAGGGTGGGTACGGACGACGGTGGCTAAGGAAATGATGTCTGCCGCTCTGTCTTGAGGCAGGTAAGCCATGCATATCGTGGAGTCTAGTATAGCGCCGATGTACTTT